AGTTAAAGACGAGGCCATATTCACTGAAAATGCGCAAAGGCGCCAAAGGGAAGTTGATGGCTGTCAGATATGCATACGATATTGAGTTTCCATATACGCACTTTCCCTCGCATGAGGGTTTGCTTGCGTTTGCAATCTGGAAGAACGACTGAAAATGGGCCAGGAGGAAATAGTATACTCGTACTAATATCTTACATGACTCTCTAATTGTCTTCAAGAACTTCACGACAACATGCACAACGAGGGTAGTCGGTATTCGACACATTTTTGTAAGAGGTATTTCTAAATGCAAATATATTTTCTTCATAGCAGAACGCGTCGTCTGCAAATGTTGCATTTGAGGAAAAAAATGCTATTGATTTTTGATATATGTTTTATTATGACGTTTTTAAGACGGTCAACTATCCATTTACAAATAATGGCATTTTTCCAGAGAGAGAATGATTAGTGTAAAATGAAAACTTCCCATGTGAGCGGAGAGCAAATAAAAATGGCAAATCAAGTTCAAAAGTCTATTAAGTCACATTGCGTGTAACTTGTTCAATGTGTTCTATAAACAGGGTGTCCCAAAAATGTATAGAAATTTTAAATAATTGTTAAATTGGCATTCCTCACAGCTTTTTTATTTCAAAAATAAAAAAAACAAATATTTACAAGTATTATTTTATTATTTTTTTGACTGCCTTTTGACTATTGCAACAATGCTGGATTTGGAGAAGCATGAATGCACACGAATACCAAGGGAATGGTTTCATGGTGTATGCGACTCCATTGCTTCTCGTTGTCAGTAGTATCATAATCAAAATGGACGTCAGTTTGAGAACATTGAGTGAAAAATACAATAAAATGATACTTGTGAATAATTTTACACATTTCAAATATTAAAATTATGATAAACACCAATTTCAAAATTATGTAAAATGCGTATAATTTTTCTTTGGGACGCCCTGTATAGTTATTTGTTTATGAGAACTGTTTGACGGTTCTCCCATAGCTCAGATAAATTATCACTATGTATTGTGCATTATGTTCTATGCACAGTTATTTGTTTTGGGGGACTTTCTGACGGCTCAGTAATAGCTTATGTAAACAAGCACTGTGCATTGCGCATTGTGCATTACTTTATATATATATATATATATATATTATGAGGACTGCTTGGCGGCTTCCTAATAGTTGAAATATATTATAAATGTGTATTCTGTATTGTGCATTATGTTCTATATGTAGTAACCTTTTGTGAGCACTGCGTGGCAACTCCCTTAATGAACACTGTCTATGGCGCATTGTGCATTATGCTCTATGCATAGTTGTCTGCTGTTCGACGGCCCCCTAATAGTTTACAGAAATGAACGTTGCCTTTGATGCATTATGTTCTATATATAGTAAACTCTTTATAAGCACTGCGTGACGGTTCCCTAATTGTTTAGATAAATTATTACTGTGTATTGTGCATTATATTCTATATATAGTTATTTGTTTTGAGGACTTTTTGGCGGCCCAGTAGGACTTTAGGGCAAAAAACACTGTCTACTCTGCATTGTGTTCTATATATAGTTATCGGTTTATGAGCCTTTTGAGCCCTTTCTCTGATATTTTAGATAAATTACCACTGTATATTGTGCATTATGTTCCATATATAGTTGTCCACTTTTGGGGACTGCTTGACGCCTGCCTAATAGTTTGTAGAAATGAACCCTGTGTATTTTGTATCGTATCTTAGGTTCACTCTTTAGCAGTACTGTGTGACATATCACCCGCTTCTGCTGCTATTTTCTGCTCATGTCTCTGATAAAGAATGAGCGACGAATTTCGAAAAATCAGGCGAATAAAAGCATTTTCCCAGCGATCGAATCTTCCTCTTCTCACTCTCACCTGACCTAAGTGTCTTGGGATCAGGCCGCATGATAATCAATACTGTATCACTACTAATGCGTTATTTCCTACTCTGAATCAAACCTCTAAATGTTAGACAACAGTTCCTGAGATAATACAACTTATACTCATTGATGAACATTCACCCGACCACTAACGGAACTCATTTGTCCCGCCCTGCCGGACAATTAAGTAAAGATGACGTAAGATCGTCGCACTGTCGGAACCACTCCCATTTGCAGAATGTCTGATTACAACTGGTCGTAGCTACTGCGCACATTTGCTTCTTCTGCTTATGCCCCTTGGGGCAATTTCTTTAGGGCCTATCATCTTGTATTTTTTGCTTTTAAAAAAACCTTTAATATATTTGAAAGCGGTTTCCAAGATCTAACGGCTCAGACGACATTGTCTTTAGAACGAATACACCTTTACTAATTAGATTTTAACTCTCGATAGTGTGATTTGTGAACCCTTACTAATAGAAATACCTCTTCGTGCTTCTACATATCTGTCTATCATGTGCTTTGCAGACCTGTCATGATGTTTCCCCATTTAAAGAACTTGTCAGTTCTGCTGATCTCGAATCGCCAACTTGCTTCAAAATTTAAGACAGCCTGTAAACCTATCTTGTCGGATAGAATGCATTTTCTATGTAGGGTAAGACGCAAGACTTTAGGAGAGTAACATTTTGCAAGAAGTAACATTCCAATTTTGACGCGTTCAGGTTGCTTTCTTAAATATGTATATATAACCTTGTTCGTTCAATTAACGTAACCTCCTTACGAAAAATAATGACAGATGAAGACCAACATTGCTTTCATCATAGGTTGATGCCACCTCTGTCAAAATGGGCAAGCTGGATCATATAACTGCGCAGAATTAATATTAAAATATCAGTAAAATCCATCACGAAGTCCTTCAACAATAACATTAACACATTTCGCAGTCAAAAACATTTTTTTTCACAGGAAGCTCCTCAGTAGTTCATGGCTAACATTTATTAAAAATCAATTCAACAAGTGTAAACTTAAACATGATTTTGCTGGACAATGCATAGACACGTGATGCTTGGTTTGGCCGTTTATGATGAACAACTGTTACTTCTCATAATGCTGTCAAGGTGGAATAAACCTTCCAATGGTTGTTTATATATAAATTTGGTTGATGGATCATTTACAATCCAGAATGCCGGTTATATTTTAATCCCGAGGGAGATTGTCTAATTGATTTTAGAATACATAAGTACGCACAACATCCTTCTATGTACCTGAACAGTATTTCAGTATAAGAGAAGTGTATACCAGGTCCCTTGCTGTTCTTGAAAAATTTTGACTTAACGTGAACTGCCACTGTAAGTGAAGCGCTTTCTGCCGAGAGAATGAATAAGTCAATTTTTAAATTCTAACCAGAAATTTAACGGTAAGTGTAACTACAATTTATTTCTTCACGTTTCAGCTATATGACCATGCTTACCCTCATGTTTAAATAATGAATGCAGCTGACGGTTTTATGTGTATCTATGCAAATTGTAATTTTTTATGACCGGCGTTTGAGAGGGTTGCTCTTGTATGCACTATATATAGTTAAACAAAGTTTGTGAATATTTTCTTGAAATATAAGTGATTTTTCAACTTTTATTAAATTTCCTTGATGTAATTTTGAAAAATATCGCTCTTATCTATTCGTTTTGCAAACGCATACCATGAAGAAATCCTGAGTCCGTCCAAGCAGAACTATATTTGTTCTGACAGTAGAAATTATCTACAAAACATCATAGGTTTATTGTGTAAAATATTCGCTCATTAGTTTATCTATTTAAAAGCAAGCAATTGTTAT